GCCAGCGGGGGCGTCGATGGATCTCCCCTGGCCTTCTCGGCCGATTCGAAGGGGGCGGGAGCGGAAGAAGCAGAAGAAGACTAAGGGGAAAGGGGAATAATCTTGAGCGCGACTTCATGGATAGGCGATATATTTTGGGGTGCCCTTTCGGACCCGAAAGGCCCTCTCTTGGGTCCAGAAAGAGCCCCTTGCGGGACCCTGGAGGGCCCCTCTCTGTAGCCCTTGCTGCCGCGCCTTCTTTCGCCGCCCCACTGCGCGCCCTCCAGTAGTCTGCGGAGCACCGCCTGCCGGGGGTGAGGAGGCGGTTGAGATGATCGGCTGCCCCCCTCCGTCAACTCACCCTCAGGCGTCCCGAGATCCTGGAGCAGGGGGGGGGACGGCGGGCACGCGAGGTCGCCAGCCCAGCTCCAGAGCTCTCGACGCTTCCGAATCCAACCCTTGTGGCCGCCACGATGCCCCAGGCGCCTTCCAGAAGGGTCCCCACACGCCAGAGAGGCCTCAAGAGCACCCCAAGATGACCCCAGGACAACCCGGCACGCCCGAAAAAGAGAGCCTCAAGACGACCCCCAAGAGGGCCTCACCAGAGGCCGAACATCTGTGCTTTATGTCAACATTGACTAACTGTGGTGCTCTCGCCTTCATGACGGGCCGATTCTCCACCACCACTACCATAGGCAGGAGAGGAAGGAGGAGGAGGAGGAGGAGGAGGAAGAGGAGGAGGAGGAGGAAGAGGAGGAGAAGGAGGATGAGGAGGAGGACCTCCCCATCCTCCATTCCCCCTTGTCCTACCCATGGTTAGTGGTGGTGGAAAGTTGGCCGCTCACTTCCGGCGCCTGCGAGCCCAAAGCGAAAAACGGCGCGGGAGGCCTCCAGACTGGTGAACCAGGACGGCCACACTAAATGCCCTCAAGGAGGGTCCGACGACCTGCCGCTGCGCGGGGGCCACCGTCCGCATGAGCTCGCAGGCCACGGGCTCGTCGAGGAGCACAACAAACGCAGCAAACGTGCACAAGCTTGCGGAGCGCTCCTTTCTAGAGTTCCCCAACCTCCCTTCTGAGATGAAACCAAGACGAGGATACAACCGGGTGAGGATAACTCGAGAAAATCTGAGATGCGGCGGCTCTGGAGGATGTCTCGGGCGCCGCGGCCTTCTCAGAGCGTTCCGGAACACACCGAGAGTGTCCCAGAACGCTCTGGAACGGATTTCGCCTAGTCCTAGCCTTAGGTCGGGCATGTCCTCCTACAGGCAGGTATTGTAAGAAAGATAAACAGTAGTCAAACATATGATCAAAAAAATTACCGTATTTTTTTCTACTATTTTTGGATACTCCTCCTGTAGAGGGACATGCCCGACTCAGTCCTAGCCCCGTCCGACCTTCCCCCTCCCGCCCCTTCCCCCCCTCACCCAGCCTGCAACTGCAAGCCGATGCTGGGCCAGCCAGTGAGCAGCCGGAGGCCCTTCGCTCGCGCGCGCGGCGAGCGACGACGACGACGACGACAACGACAACGACGACGACGGACGACAACGACGACGACGAGGATAACGACGACGACGGCGACGACGGACGACAACGACGACGACGACGATAACGACGACGACGGCGACGACGACGACAACGACGACGACGGACCTCGACAGCGACGTTCACGACAGCGACGACGAACGACGCCGCCGCCGACGACGACGACGACGGCGACCACGGACCACGGTCGTCGTCGTCGTCGCCGTCGACGTCGCCGTCGTCCTCGTCGTCGTCGTCGTCGTTTTTCCGAGTGAGTATTCTAGCATCCCTGGAGCCTTTGCCGCCACGGCTGGACGCAACTCGATCAACAGTCGGAATGGACCCAGATCAGGCGCCGAGGAACGGACTCTGAGCGAGCGCCATTAACACGTCCGCGACCACGATCTGCGCGACCGGAACCACGCCCACGAAGACAACGACGGCGGCGACATCGGAAGCCCTCGCCCCCCCTAAACTCCTCCTGCTCTTCCTCCTCCAGCTGCTCTTCCGTGCTCGTCAGCCAGGGGGAAGAGGGAGGCAAAATAAAGGCACACAGGGAACGGGGGTCAGACGTAACACGAGCAGGACAGAGGACGGAGGGGTGGCAAGGAGTTGTTCGAGCATCAGTATCCGATCCCCAGCCCCACTGACATGGCCTGAACCCCGCTGGCCGGCTGAACCCTCAATATGGCGATCTGTGCTGATCCCTTCAGGCTGTGCGGGGCATATCCCCACCTTAGAGGCGGGGGGCTGGGGCGCTGAGATACCATGGTCTGATGGGGATGGGGATCGGTTAGACGTGGCCCTAACGGGAGCACCACATAATTAGGATTTCACTGGGCGCGTCCGCATTGCGTAAGCGTCCCCGTGCCAGCACAACACTTGCACGTTTCGTGGCCCGCAACGGTCTCACCCGGCGCGGCGCGGTCGCATGGCGGCACAGCCCCCATGTCGGCACAACTCTTACACTCTGCGCGGCCCCATCAGGAGCGTCACCTACGGTCTCAGTGGGCGTGAGCAGATGGTGGACTTCATATATCATATCGGCGCACCCTGCACACGTTTCGTGTCCTCGTAGGGAGCTCCACGTAAAGGCCCAGTGTGTGCGACCGAATGGCGGCACCACGCCCTGTTCTCACCAAATGCCCCAATGGCAAAGTCCACATGGCACTACTGCCTCATTTAATGCATTCTTCTCACACACTTCGTGCTGCTCAAGGAGCTTCACCGAATGCCCCAAACGGAAAAATCCGCAGGGTACCACCGCCTCATTTCGGCACACCCACATGGAGCTCCACCTCACCCAGTGGCACGGTCCGATTGGCGCCACCGCCAAATTTCGTCACATCCCTCACACGCTTCATGGCCTCAATCCGCACTGCCCCAGGGTCCATCCCTCGCGCGGAGGAATGGGCCATATCCTGCTCTTTACCCTCAACTGCGTGTACCCGGGGTCCAAAAGTGGCCTCCGAGGACCGGACATGCAAGGAAAACTGGCCTCCGAAAATCGGACATGCAAGGAAAACTGCCGGACTCTGGGGCGTGGAGGGGGTCCGTTCGAGCATCGAGTGGACGCTGGGTCTTCTTAGGAGCACCTGATGGCTATGAGGCCAGGGGGCTCAAGCGGAGCTTGGCTAAAGGTGGGCCATGATCGGCGGGACCATGTCAATTTTGAACGATGTTCAATCGACTGGACGGGATGAAGCCTGCTCTCGACTACGGATATACCAGCGCCGATGCTGAATTCAGCCTTCCAGGAATTGCAACGTGGCAAAGGGCATGAGAGGGAGGGTCGATGAGGAGAGTCGCGTAAAAGGATCGAAGAGCGGAATCGAAGAGGAAGATCAGGGTACGGCAAACTCGTGTCGTGCCGACTTCGGCGTTGGTTTCTCACACCGCGGGGATCGTCCAACCTTGAACGATCGGCCGTCTCCGAAACGTCAAATCGTTCAACATCGACCGATTTTGGGTCGCCGGCGGCGGGGTCAACGCCGGTCGACGCGACGCGAACCTACCGTAAGGATGCAACGCTCCTCGGGCGCCCAGACTGCAACCTGCCGCGAGTTCTGGATTTTCACTGCCTTCGGGTCGATCGTGAATAGCAGTGCGTGGCGTATTAGCGCAGGCTGCTCCTGCTGTTGCTGCTGCTCCTCTTCGTCATCCTGCTGGGCGTGTCTCCAGTTCCGCGCGATTTGAGGCCAGTCGCCCATACGGGAGGAGATGCACCCGAGCGACGAGAAGGAGCGGATCGTGGGCAAGATGGCATAGCGACCATACGAGGTGGCTTACACGGGCTGCCAGCGCGGCACGCGACACTGGCGGCGAAGGCTTGGCGGCCAGCAGGGGAGGGAAGCGAAAAGGAGAAGGCCTTCTCGCAAGGCGGCGGGACTTCTCAGAAACCCTCTCGCGCCTTCTGGAGAGGATTGTTTCTCTCTTCCAGGAATGCGGGCAGTACTTATATCCATATCCAGAGCGTCTTGGACTTTTCGGGAAGAGGTGCCGCAACGCCGAGGCGTACTGGATATGGATAAAATCAAGCCTCGTGGGTCCAGATCTTTATCCATATCCAGTGCGTCTACGGTTTCTGGGGAAGAGAGCCCAAGACTCCAAGACGCAGTGGATGTGGATGTAACTATTGCCCGCAGGGAAGGCGTAGAACACTTCTCAGAAGGCTGGGCGACTTCCGAGCCTTCCGAGAAGGCCCGCCCCGTCTTGCCTCCACCCCAACTTCGCAGCCGGAAGGCCCTCACACGCGGCCTCCTTACGCTGGACGATTTTGCGCGCCAGTGCCAGGGAAGACGACCCCGCTCTCCTGCGTCGTTCCTCGGACGCCCTCGGCTTCTGCGGAGTTGGGGAGCGGCCAGCTTCGGATCAAGAGAACATATCGGATGGGATCTACCCTCGAATCGGACCGCATCGTGGCGGCGCCGGAATCGACGCGAATGGAATCGGCTGCTCCAGGGTACATGACAAGGCCATGCGCCATGCGAACATCGGGCTGCACTGCATCGCCCATGCATCGGAATCGAATCGTATCGGGCTGGCTGAAATCGACAATCGGATCGCATGGATCTTACCGAAATGGGCCCTGGGGTGTGCAGAGCGGGCCACGTTACCGCAAACGCACTTCCCGTGGGAGGGCACAGCAAATGTCCTGCAGCAAAGAGTATTCGGCGGTGGTCGGAGCGCTTTTCTGTTGGCTCTGGCCAGCGCCCAGGTTTGAGAGCGGCGCTCGAGCGGAGAGACCCGAGGTGGCCGAGACTCCTCCAGAACCAGGAGGGTGGCCGAGTGTATTTTGCAGGCTCGGATTTGGGACGAAAAGAATGGGTACGATGCCCAGCATCAGAGCCTGTTCATGCGGAACAAGAGTTGCTGTCCGTCGGAAACCTGACAAGAACGCGTAATATGTTGACCAAAACTTTGGTTCACTCGGACAACAAGCGCTATCAAACGGAAAGGGAGTGCTGTCAAAACGACAAGCTGTGTTGTCCGATGGGTCCCGAAAAACAGCTAATCTTGTTCCAGATGAATAGGCGCTTCTGTTGAGCATCGTGCCCATACTGTCCGTCCCCATTCCGGGCGCGCAGATTCTTGTTGTGCAACCACGTCCTTGGACCTCCTTCCGGCGCGCGCGTTGTCAGTCAGCAAGTCCCCCCGCCGCATCCGCCCACCGACTTCCACTCCTCGCGCGAGCTCTTGGCCACGCGCAGCTGCGCGAACGCCTCGGCGTCCGTGGGGTGGATGCCGATCAGCTCGTCGAAGTCGCGCTTGGTGGCCCCAAGCCGGAGGGCCAGTGCGAAGCCCTGCGTCACCTCGCCCGCTGCGGGGCCCACAAAGTGGACGCCGAGCACCCGCATGCCCTCGCCTCGGTGGCACACGAGCTTCGCCAGCACGTTCCCCTCCAGCGCGCGCCCGTCGCGGCCGACCCGCCCCACGGCGCCCAGCTCCAGGGTGTCGTGCTCGGACAGGAACACCTCGATGTTCTCGGAGCCGTGCACGCGCCGCGCCTGCTCCTCAGACATGCCCACGCGGCCATACTCGAAGGGCGTGAACACCGTGCTGGGCACGAGGTTGAAGTCGGCCCTGGCGGTCGAGGCGCCGAAGAGCCGACTCATGAGCAGCTCCCCGCTGCGCACGGCCGTCGGCGTGAGCTCTGGGGAGCCCTCCACCACGTCCCCGATCGCGTAGATGTGCGGCACGCTCGTCGCGTCCCCGTCGTCGACGGGGATCTTGCCGTCCTCGCCGACGACCACTCCGGCCGCGGCGAGGCCGAGCCGCTCCGTGTCGGCGCTCCGCCCCGTCGCGTACAGCACCGTGTCGAACGTCTCCACGGGCGGCACGCTGCTGTACCTCGTAGCTGGCGAAGAAGGGTAGAAAATACACTTTTCTGCCGTCGGGGACGCCTGCCCCCCAGGCGACTGGAAAATTGATACCCTGACGTGGCGCCGTATTAAGGGTATAAATTCTGCAGCCGCCCCGGGGGCAGGCGTCCCCGACGGTGGAACAACTTTAAAACAGGGCTAGGATCGGGATAAATCGCTCCAGAGCGTTCCGGAGCGCTCTCAGAGCGTTCCGGAACGCTCTCAGAGCGGCCGCGGCGCCCAATACATCCTCCAAACCCGCCGATTCTCAGAGCTTTCAGGTTATCCCGATCCGATTTTGTCCCGACCTTCGCGTCGTTTTGGTTATGCCGTTCTTCGCTCCCTACACCTCGTGGTGTCCGGCTCGGCACCGGCCTCGGCGTCGGCCGCCGGCTCTGGCGCGGCAGCGAAGTGGACGTCGAGCCTGCCGTCCTGGCGCCGCTCCACGCGCTCGACGGCCGCCCGCAGGAAGCGGGTGCCCTGGCGGGCCATGAGGTCCACGACCTTGTTGACGCACTGCTTGTCGAAGGCCTCGGCGCGCAGGGGCCTGGAGCGCACGGCCACGGCCGTCTCGAAGCCGAGGCCGGTGAGGAAGCCGGCGCACTCCAGGGCGATGTGCCAGGTGCGCCGGAGAGGGGGGCCATGGCAGAGAAGGTCTGGCGCGTCACGGCCCGAGGCGCGCGCGAGGACCGGGGGGGGGCACAGAGCGTCGCCACAGAGCAAGCGGGGGCCGTGAAGTGTGGGAGACGTGATGGCCCCGGCCACGACATCCACACACACACACACACACACATCCACGCACGCACACACACACACACACACACACACACACACACACACACGCACGCACGCACGCACGCACGCACGCATGCACACTTACACACTTACACACACACACACACGCTCACACACACACAGACACACACACACACACACACACACGCTCACACGCTCACACACACACACTCACACACACGCTCACACACACGCTCAAACACACACACACATACACACACATACACACACATACACACAAGCACGCACACCTTGGGGAAACGAAACAACGTACCCATGCCGCTACTCCCGGGACCTCTCCTGGGGGGCGCGCTTGGAGCCGGACTTCAAAGCGAACCCGGCCGTGGCGACGATGGACACGTAACCCTTAGATCTGAAGTTGCCAGAACAGTGCAACTAAGCAGCCTCGAACGTATCCCTATCCCTAAGATTGACACGCCAAAAGGGGATGACAATCTTAGGGATTCACCCTCAAAAAATAAGGGAATCCCTAAGATTGGCATCGTGATGAGACGGTGCCCAGAAAGGGATAGGGATATGTTCCAGGCTGGTAAGCAACACCGCAGAAAATCAGGACCTGACCCGCGGACCCAATTCTCCGGTGCCATGCCTAGGGCCGGATCGATCTGTGAGGCCCCCGGGGCCCGAGATTTTGAGCGAACACGCCGGGCTCGGACAAAATGAGTCGCCAGGATCTCAGGCCACTAGCGGTAATGCGGGATGAAGATTAATACAAAATTAGAGAGAACGATAACAAAAACAGATTTCTGCTATTTCTGCACAATTTTCTGACTGGAAGAGAACGATAAAAAAGAAAAAGTTTTCCAGCCCGCGGCCGGTTTTTTCTATTCGTCATCCCGGGCGCCGCCGCGTGAACACGACCCCCGGTCATTTATTAATCGTCATCCTCCATTACCCCCAGCCCCCTCTCGGACGCCCCCGAGATGTACGCGCCGCCCACGCACAGCGTCTTGCCCGGCGGCCCAGGCAACGAGAAGACGTCGTCGCTCGTGATCGCGTGCTGCAGCGCGCCAGGCACCTCCCGCGGCACCCGCGGCCGGCCACCCGTCGCCACGACGATGGCTGGAGCGGTCAGCGTGCCCTCCGCACCGCGCGCCGTCCTGAAGGCCACCTCGCTGGAGGCCCGCAAACTGGCACCAGCACCAAGAGAGGGGGGCCGCCTCCACCGGGGCAAGTTGAACGGGGACCGAGCCAGGACCAGGACAAGATCGGGCCCGGACAGGGAGCGGGGATCCGTCGGCATGGGGGATGTATCGGGCGCCGCGGCCACTCCCGAGCGCCCCAGAACGTTCTGAGAGCGTTCCAGCACGCTCTGGTATGCCCGGACCCGGCCCATCCTCTCTGTCTTGGTGCTGGTGGCAACGTCTCGGCCACCCGGGAAGCCAGAGACGATTACCACCATCACCGAGATCGGAATCCTCGTCCCTCGGTGGATGCAACCGCCGACATTGGTGCTGGCGCCAACCTCTCGGCCTCCAGACCTCGTTGGGGCCGACGAAGCGCGCGAGGGCGTTGTAGTACGTGACGCTGCCCTCGCTGAGCCTCAGCGTCTCCCCGCCCCGCAGCCTCCGCAGGCCCGCGGCGTCGAGGCCGCGCCGGTACGAGACGTTGAGCTTCTTGACGTGGTCCTGCGCTCAGGTCGGACATGTCCTCGTACAGGCGGATCTTGGACGAAAAATGAAGAACAGTCGAAAAGATCCAGGAAGAGTCAGACGTCGGCAAAAGATGGTCCCTGGACTACTGTTTGACTACTTTCGAATGTTCCTCCTGCAGAGGGACAGGCCCGACTCAATCCTGCACCCTCTGCACCAGCGCCTTCCAGTCCAGCGAGGGCGCGCGGCCCGCCGTGTCCCAGCCGAGGGCCGTCGCGTCTGCGAGCTGCTCGCGGCACAGGGCCGCGTAGTGCATCAGCTTCTTGGGGACGCACCCCACGTTCACGCAGGTCCCGCCAAGAGACCAGCTCGTGCCCTGCGTGGAAGGCTTCACGAAATCCAAGATGGCCACCTCGCCGCCGAGCTGAGCGGCCTGCCGGGCCGCAGCCATCCCGCCAGAGCCACCGCCGATGTTAGAAGAAGAGAGTCTGCACAAGCAACACCTGTCTTGCCATCGCTCGGACGTCCATTCTGTTTTCGAAGGGTGAACAATATTTGCTCCTCGATGGTCCCTGCCGAGCAAAATGCACACGTCCGAGCGATGCCGAACTGTCGGAGGTCCGCGCGGGATTCTAAGACCGGCGCCCGACCACCTCCCCATCCCCTGCGCGCTGAGCGCGCCAAAGGCGGCGCCTGGGGGGTCCCAGCGACGAGCCGACCGCTCCGCGCGGCATTCCGGTAGTTTCTCCTTGCGCAGATTCTTCTTCTTCGAGATGATGATGGCGTCGTACGCCGTGCGCTGAGGCACCTCGGGCGCCAGCCTCGCGCTGGCCGCCTCAAGCGGGGCGGGCGCAGTCTTGAGCGCCTGCAGCCGGCTTTCGAGGGCCTCCTCGCCGCCGTGGGCCTCGACGCCCACCAGCCTCGGCACCACCTCCTCGCCGCGCTTGAGGAACAGGAACGTGGGGAACCCGTCGACGCCGTACGCCGAGGCCACCCCCTCCAGCACGTTGCCGTCCACGCCGAGGTACAGGTGCTCCGCGTGGGGCCCCGCGGCCCAGCGCCTCAGCGAGGGCAGGATCCTCTTGCAGGGCTCGCACCAGGAGGCGTTGAAGTCGATGACCACGCCCCTGTCGCCGGCATCCCGAACCATGCGCTCGAACTGCTCCTCCGAGGTGACCTCCACGATCGGCCCCGCCCCCGCCTCCCCGTCGGGGCCAGGCGCGCCCGCGGCAAGCGCCGGCTCGGGGGCGCCCTCGGAGGGTCGCCGCGGCCACCGCACGCACAGCGGCCCGATGCACATGGCCTGCCTCGAGAAGTGCACCTCGGCGGGCAGCGACGTGAGCGCCCTGGGCGGCTGCCCGTCCAGGCTCACGGCCGGGCCGTCGGCGGCAGAGTTGCTGAAGGTGACGTCGAAGGCCTGGCCGTCGACCTCCACCTCCAGCGCCAGCTCGCCTTGCAGCTCCACGGCCTCTACCAGCAGGTCGTCTGGGGATATGGCGAGGCCGTCGATCCTCGGGGATCTGCGGACCCGGGTCAATCCAAACCCAGGTCAGTCGGGCATTGCAAGATCCTGCAGGATCCTGCAGGATCCTGCACCCAAACCCGGGTCAGCGCGAAGGATCCTGCAAGACCCTGCCGGATCCTGCACCCACACCCGGGCCGGTGCGACCCTGCGGCCAGGCAGGATCCTGCAAGATCCGGCGCTCTGGCTGACCCCCGCTTGCATGGACCCCCGTCGGAGGAGGAGGGGGAGGGGGAGGGGGAGGAGGAGGAGGAGGAGGAGGAGGAGGAGGAGGAGGAGGAGGAGGAGGAGGAGGAGGATGAGGGGGATGAGGAGGGGGAGGAGGAGGAGGAGGAGGAGGAGGAGGAGGAGGAGGAGGAGTTTGCATTGGCCCCCGTCGCGAGGCTCCCGAGATCCTCACGGTGCAGTCCGTGAAGACGGCCCGGCCGAAGGCCAGCGCCGCGCCCGCGCTGCCGCCAGGGCCGCTGGCCGGCCCCGCCGCCGGGGCGCCGCGCGCGGCGCCGCCCGCCGGCTCGCTGGCGCCCGGCTCGCTCGCGGCCGGGGGCTGCCTGGGCCAGGGCAGGCAGACGGAGCCGACGCACATCGCGTTCCTCGAGAAGTGCACCTCTGAACTAACGGGCGAAGAGCGGTATAAGATAAGCTTGTTCGCTGTCGGGGGCGCCTGTGCCTGGGCGGCTGGAAAGTTCATACCCTTACGGTGGCACCGTAGGGGCATAAACTTTCCAGCCGCTCAGGGACATGCGCCCCCGACAGCGAAAAGGTTTATTTGTTCTTCGCTCGCTGACTGAAGGGGCCCTGGGACACAGTAATGAATAGACACCAAATAACCGGATTCCCCACCATATGCTCCCCTATTTTTTCTGCGTCTTGGTCTCCCCCCCCCCTTCCCATATGTTGCCATATTTTCGGGGGACTCGTTGTGTCTGTGTTTTTTTGTTTCCCTCCTGCACCTCTGCGGGCGAGGACAGCGGCCTGGCGGCGGCGTCCCCGAGGGCCACGCTGGCCTGGCCGCCAGGCGAGTTGCGGAGCAGCACGCGGTGCCGCCGGCCTCCCACCTCCACCTCTCGAGCAGGGGGGATCGACTGCAAGATTGGCTTACCCCAGGATTCAAGGGTTTCGCCGAATCTGCGCAACAGGTGTGGCACGTTGGTAGATCTACGAGCATTCTACGTCTTATCGTAGCTGCTCCGAGTGAAAACAATGATGATAATGATACTAACCAATTGGAAACATCGGGGCATAACCAATTCTGCAGGCAATCCCATGCTCGAACCTCCAGCTCCAGCGTGCCGCCCGCCTCGACCCTCTCCGCGGCCAGCTCTGGCCCCGACACGGCGAGCCCGCCCAGCCGCACCACGCAGCCCTCCAGCCGCACGCCGCCGAAGACGAGCGCGGCCGCGCCTCCGGCGCCCTCGCGGGCTGCGGCGCTGCTCCGGAAGAGGAGCAACACTGCGCCAGCATGCGCTTCCGGATGTCCGCCGGGCTTGATAGGCGAAAGAAAACAAAGGCATACATGGAAGCGTTTGGCGCTCCGCGCGGACTTCTTGGATCCGCGCTGGGCCCCCCTGGCGGCGGAAATCCGTGCAGATCGCAAAAAGCTTATGTGCTTGCCGTTTTGGCTTCTTCGATTTGAAGGGCAACGTCTGGAGGAGACCAGCTCAGGGGGAAACCATCGACCTGGAATCGGCGCGATACACCGCAGATTCATCGGCGACAGTCCCCCGGTAACGGCTCCGCCAGTTCCAGGGCAGGCAGGGCGGGGCGATCAGACCCCATCGACGATCAGTGGGCGATCAGTGGCCGATGCGTTCCCCTCTGAGCCTACCCCAATCCATCGCTGCCCCCGAAGATTGATTGGATCAGCGCCGGAGGCGCCGCCTGGGTGGACGAGCGCAGATACAAGGAATCGTACCCTGCAGTGTAACAGGTCTTTGTGGGCCCCGGAAACGGCAGGGCCGTTTTTCACCGTTTCCAAAAAAGCGTCCCTTGAAAATGGCAACGGCAAAAAAAACGGCGACCAAAAACGGCAAAAAAAAGGCTCCAAGATTGGAACCGGTGCCGGAACCGGTAAAAAATCAGCGACGGAACCGGTAAAAAAACAGCGTCGGAACTGGTAAAAAAACGGCAGAACGGAACCGGTAAAAAACGGCCCTGTCGTTGCCCACTAAGTAGCAGGTCACCTGATTTCGCGCATCGCTCCCCCGCGATGCGCCGCCTCGCTCCTGCGCCACCCCTCCCGCAAGAAGGGCAGATCCAGTGCAGACTGCGACGCGAGAAGCACGAGATTCCCCTTGCGCTCCCGCAAGTGACGCGGGGACAAAAAGCAACCGCAACACATCGACGCGGGGACAGATAGCGACCGCAACCACATCGAGGACGCACCCCGGGGGGCGTTTCGAACATGCCAGCAGCCGTCAGAACGCCGAAAACAGTCTAGTACTGGATGTGGTCGATGTGGTCGTTCCAGACTCCCAAATCGACCACAACCACAGCCTGCGAACTCGTGCCGAGGTCGGTGGCTTCTCCTCCAAGAGGCCCTGCAGAAAAAACGCACTTAGTTGTGGTTGTCGGTTTGTGTTGGGCCTGGTACAAGTTACAGGACGAAGCCAGGACGATGATAAACTCAGGTAAAGATAAGCCGAGAATCTCTGAAATGCGGCACTTCTGAGAGCGTTACGAAGTCGAACGGTCTGGAACGGATTTATCCTCGTCCTAGCCCCAGGCCGATGGTACCCCGCGCGGACCTCCAGAAATTGATGCATCCGCGCAGGTTTCTCGTCTCCGATGCTCAAAGCCCGCAAGCGGAGCCCCGGGCCGCGGCGGCACCGCCAGCCGCACCTCCGCTGGGGAGGCAACACGGAATCTATCGATATCGCTGCTCCCTGGACCACTCCAGCGCTTGTCGTCGTCGTCGACGCCGTCCGCGTCGTGGTCCTCGCCGTCCTCCCCGTCGCCGTCCTCGTCGTTGTCGTCGTCGTCGTGGTGGTGGCAGCGGCGGAGGCGCCGTGCTGGCCGAGGAATATCTGGCGGTGGCGGCGAGGGCTCTCCCGGACGAGGCAGCGGCGTGGCTGCCTCCTCCTCCTCGTCCTCGTCCTCGTCCTCCTCCACATCCTCATCTAGGGAGCCCACCAAGGACATGCGCGCCCAACCGCGTACACAATTCGGCACCCCAGCCCACGAGACCAGCCTCGTGATACGAACGTTCGCGCAAGGCGTAGCTTCGAAACCGACCCTGAACCCTAGAATTGAGCAGGGACCGACCGACCCGGCATTCCTATCGTCCTACCACGAAATGTTCCTAGAACCCGAAAATGATCCAATAACAAAAACAATGTTCTTAGAACATAAACCCGATGTGCTAAAACAAGACAATATCTGCCAAAACTGTGCTAAGAACATTTCGTGAAACCACAAGAGGTTCTTAGAGCATTGTTTGGTAGGGCTCTAGGCGAGCCAGGACGCTTCGCCACTGTCTGAGAGAATGGTGTCGTCTCTTGTGAACGCAGCTTCCACTTCCGTCGGCCTTCCGCCGGCGGAGCCGCCCTCGTCTTCCTCTCGCCATCTTCCTTTCGCCACCTTCCGCCGCGGGAGCGATGCCGACTCCTCGACCCCTCGCAGGCACGGCCCTTCCTGGAACGCCTCGTGCACGTGCACGCCCAGAGGAGGAAAAACGTCATAAACAGAAACTTTCGGCGCTCCGCGCGGATTTGTTGGATCTGCGCTGGACCCCTCTCCCTGGCGCGCGCAGTGCGCCAAGAACGGCGCCGGATGCGCCGCCGGGGGGGCCCCAGCGCGGATCCAAGCAATCCGCGAGGAGCGCACAAAGTTTACGTCTATGGCGTTCTTGTTCTTCTTCGAACGTCCTCCTCTCGCCCCTTCCTCTCGGCGGCGCGCAGAGGGGGGTCGGGGGCGGGGGGAAGGCCTCTTAGAAGGAGGCTGCTACTTAGAAGGTGCGACCCTTACATCTACAGAAAAGGCCCACGCCCTCTAAGAATCATGATGCTTCTGAGAAGCCTTCCCCCCTCCCCCTACCCCCCTCTGCGCGTGGCCGACCCCACCCCGGCTCTCGTGGCCGCCGAGGCATGCCGAAGACGAGGCGAGGGCGGGGACAAAGTAGGACTGGGGCAACTCGGGACCTCTGAGAGCCTTCGGTGGCCGTTCAGTGGAGCCTCCCGTACCATATTGCCAGCTCTTGCGAATAGACGCTCAATCGACGCCAAATCGACGCTCGTCGGCGCAAGCCGACGCTAAATCCGCGCTACCTCATCGATTCCCAGACGCACGCGTGGCCCCCCTCTCCGCGTGGCCGACCCTCCTCCGACCTGGGCGTTGGTTTCTAACACAGCGGGGATCGTTCAACCTTGAACGATCGGCCGTGAACCGAAACGTCAGATCGTTCAACACAACATCGCCCGATTCTGGGTCGCGGGCGGCGCTCAACGTTGAACGCGGTCGGCGGGCTCGCCGCCGGTCGCGACGACGCGAACCTACCGTACCCCCCCTACGCTTAAGTCGGGCCTGTCCCCGTACAGGAGGATTTTCGACGAAAAATAAAACATACCCCAAAAATATTCGAAACATACTCCAAACAAATAGTCTGGGGACTGTTTTCCGAGTAGTGATTGACCTTTTGGGGGTATGTTTGGGGCATTTTCATTTGTCCGTCGAACCTACGGTACCCCCCCCCTACGCGTGACCGACCCTCCTCCGACCTCCGCGCCGCCGCGGCGGCGGGCGCCGCGAGCGCGGCCGCGCGGCGGGCCGCCGCCGCCGCCGCTCGGCCCCCGCGCGGGGCGGCCGCGCGACGCGCAAGAGCGGCCCTGGGCGCGAGCGTGGCCCTCGGTGCGTGGCTCCGGGAGGCCGGGGGGAGGGGGGCAGGATCCACTGGGGCGTCGCTCAACGGAAGAGAGGAGGAGGAGGAGGAGGAGGAGGAGGAGGAGGAGGAGGAGGAGGAGGAGGAGGAGGAGGAGGAAGGGGGAGGAGCGAGGAGGAGGAGGAGGAGGAGGAGGAGGAGGAGGAGGAGGAGGAGCGAGGAGGAGGAGGAGGAGGAGGAGGAAGCGAGGAGGGGGAAAGAGAAGTGCACTCCTCAAGCCCAGAAGGCCCCCGTTCGGGCGCTCCACGGCCTCTCCTCTGCAGCCCTCGCTGCCCCCCCCCCCAGCTGTCGCCGCCCCCCCCGCTGCGCGGCGCCCCATCCACGCGCGCAGGCCACTGCCGGGGGGTACCCCTGCGTGGGGGGCAGCGATCGGGGGGACTGGCATAGAGCATAGGGGGGGGATAGCATAGGGCATAGGGGGGGGCACGTTGACATGGATGAGGTCGGGCCTGTCCCCAGACAGGGGGATTTTGGACGAACAGTAAAACATACTCGAACATACTCAAAAAAGGTTCCCAAAAATACTATGAGA